ATACGATACTCTTACAGTCTCACTGTACTACACATACGATACTCTTACAGTCTTACTGTACTACACATACGATACTCTTACAATCTCACTGTACTACACATACGATACTCTTACTGTCTCAATGTACTACACATACGATACTCTTACTGTCTCACTGTACTACACATACGATCCTCTTACAGTCTCACTGTACTACACATACGATACTCTCACTGTCTTACTGTACTACACATACGATACTCTTACAATCTCACTGTACTCTGTCTCACTGTACTACACATACGATACTCTTACAATCTCACTGTACTACACATACGATCCTCTTACTGTCTTACTGTACTACACATACGATACTCTTACTGTCTTACTGTACTACACATACGATACTCTTACTGTCTTACTGTACTACACATACGTTACTCTTACAGTCTCACTGTACTACACATACGATACTCTCACTGTCTCACTGTACTACACATACGATACTGTTACAGTCTCACTGTACTACACATACGATACTGTTACAGTCTCACTGTACTACACATCCGATACTCTTACAGTCTCACTGTACTACATATACGATACTCTTACAGTCTCAATGTACCACATATGCGATACTCTTACAGTCTCACTGTACTACACATACGCTACTCTTACTGTCTCACTGTACTACACATACGATCCTCTTACAGTCTCACTGTACTACACATACGATACTCTCACTGTCTTACTGTACTACACATACGATACTCTTACTGTCTTACTGTACTACACATACGATACTCTTACAGTCTCAATGTACCACATATGCGATACTCTTACAGTCTCACTGTACTACACATACGCTACTCTTACTGTCTCACTGTACTACACATACGATCCTCTTACTGTCTTACTGTACTACACATACGATACTCTTACAATCTCACTGTACTACAGATACGATACTCTTACTGTCTCACTGTACTACACATACGATCCTCTTACTGTCTTACTGTACTACACATACGATACTCTTACTGTCTTACTGTACTACACATACGATACTCTTACTGTCTTACTGTACTACACATACGATACTCTTACAATCTCACTGTACTCTGTCTCACTGTACTACACATACGATACTCTTACTGTCTCACTGTACTACACATACGATACTCTTACAGTCTCAATGTACCACATATACGATAAAGTGTTTTGAATGTCACGACTGCTTCTCGATTGATAGAACAGAACTAAATATCTACTGTAACAGTATGCAGCCGAAGATGTGAGATATCTATTTAGCCGATGATTTTAGAAGATGTCTCCATATTGAATATCTATTTAGCCGATGATTTTAGACGATGTCCAAGTATGTTCAACTGTCAAGCCTTTCTACACCTAGACACGTAACACCTAGACAGGTAACTTGATCTGTTTCCATCGGGCTGGTGTTTGGATGTTATACTAGGATGCTATTCTAGACTCCACAGAAGACGTATGTATACCTATGCCTGTAAGGAAGGAAAACCGTTTGCCTATTATGAATGCGTGGTGACTAATTTATTGAAAGTCCGCCGTAAATAGGAAAAATGACATTATATTAATTTGTAATACTTGTTATTTCTCAACATATTCAGGTTGGTGAGTATGAATTTATCACATACCTGTTGAATCTTGTTATGGTAATGCAAGCAATTTTCAGACCATGAAATACAACGTTCTGTATTGCACATGTGCAATACGGAATGTTGTATTTACCTACTAGCCGGAACTACTTTTTATGGGAATCCCCTTGTCATGGCGAACTAAAAAGTTCCCGGTATTTGCAAAAAATATCAAAGTTTATAAAATCGGTGTATCGATCTCTACCAAAATCGAAGGTATGTGATAAAAGCAAGACCACACACTTGTGTTTTTCTAACGAATCAGAAAGCACTCATTTATTTCGCGGACGTATATATTCACTCGTGCGCTCCGCGCACTCATGAATATATTCGTTCGAGCAATAAATGAGTGCTTTCTGATTCGTTAGACCGCGCACGAGGGAATATATACGTCCGCGCAATAAATGAGTGCTTTCTGATTCGTTAGAAAAACACAAGTGTGTGGTGTTGCATATGTATTACATGTACAGCCAGTAAGTTTCCACCGTATATACGAACATTGCATCATATTAGCATTTGTTTCGTGTATAAGATGATATACATTTCTGTAAGGTTTGATTGTTACGGAATAGGTTAGTAGACTTTTAGACTAATTTTTGATAAGGGTAAAGATTTTAAGTTTAAATAACACGAATAAAACTAACCCTACATTTAAGATTCATACTAGTCTTAGAACACATATATGACATTTTCTTCAGTTTGATAACTATGGATTGTAGAAAGGTTATATGTCACAACCAATTGTGTGTTTCCGTGGTTTCGATGACGTTTGCCTTGCAGCAAAATCATGTTATCGACTGGGATAACTCCAAAATACTGGACAGAGAGAGCAACATGTTCAAGCGGTAGATAACAGAAACCATCTCGATACGCCGCGGTGGGCCAGTCCTGAACCGAGATGAGGGGATCATAGACTCTCGCACCACTATGACCAGGTATTTAACAAAGCGTAGCCGGATCGAATTGTCGGAATGATTCATTATTTCGTACATGAATAACAACTAAGTGTACATACGCTTATAGCGTATCCGAATTAACTTAGATTATATATTGCCAACCCGTACATATATTACACCTTTAAATTTGGATACATACGCTTATAGCGTATCGGAATTAACTTAGATTATATATTGCCAAACCGTACATATATTACACCTTTGTGTGCAGACGCTTATAGCGTATCCGAGTTAACTGAGATTACATATTGCCAACTCGTACATATATTACACCTTTGTGTACATACGCTTCACTGGTCATTTGTCTGATGAAGATGACAGAGTATGTACCGTACTAGTGATCGAAACGTCACACAAAACCTTCGTACATCATGGCATACCAGTTAATTAGTCCCTGAATCGCCCTACATGTGATTGCCTGGCAGAATGTTTGGCTCCTTCGTTCTCCAGTACTATACAATTCAGCCCATGTACCCAATATACAAGGGAGAATTAGATAACATATCCATTAACCAATAGATAACATATCCATTAACCAATTAGATAACATATCCATTAACCAATTAGATAACATATCCATTAACCAATTAGATAACATATCCATTAACCAATTATATAACATATCCGTTAACCAATTAGAGAAGATTTTAATACTTTGTGATATTCAATTGGTGCAATTAAGCAACCAATCGGATACAAAAATGCTCTTTCTTTCTTTCTTTCTTTCTTTCTTTTTTAAATTGGTCAAAAATCAATAAGACAAAATCAATAATGTTTTTATCTTGATATAGATAAAATATCAAGAATGACTATATTTATTTTTCATAATATCAAAACACCATACACATACAATATTTGTGAAAACACGGACATGGAATCATCTGCTTAGGGATATGGACATCGACCTAATGAAAACAAATAAGTACACGTATCTGAGATCATAAATCTCACTCTAAGCATTTTATTTGAACATTTTGTTTTTACATATATTTGTTTAATCCACCGTTTAATTTGGACACACAGGTACTGATTTTACTGTAAACACTATATGCCTTAAATGTGACATAAACATAAGAAATGCAGTAAAGAGATTGTAATGGTTATGTTTCTAGAGTTATACTACCATAAACAGTTCGCTTTATGATTAATAGAACAAAAACATGAACATAATGATATACAAATACGAATTATATTTAGAGTTTCAAACATTTGCTATTTAACTTATTATTGTCTGTGCACTAATGATTATAGAAATAGAACGAATCCATCAACATTTAACTGCGCGTCCTGAAATCGAGACATGTTGAATTCAAAATATAAAATCAATTCTTTTGCACATGTTCATTCGATAATTTTAGTAATGTGTGTAACATAGTTATCTCCCTTTGTCTTCAGTGAGATGCGTGAGGCTATACCGAAAAGACATTGAGAACATATACCATATGTGGGTTATACACATAGTCTTGACGTAGTTACCTTATATAATGGGGATTATACATATAGTCTTGACGTAGTTACCTTATATAATGTGAGTTATACATATAGTCTTGACGTAGTTACCTTATATAATGTGGATTATACATATAGTCTTGACGTAGTTACCTTATATAATGTGGGTTGTACACATAGTCTTGACGTAGTTACCTTATATACTGTGGGTTATACACATAGTCTTGACGTAGTTACCTCATATAATGTGGGTTATACACATAGTCTTGACGTAATTACCTTATATAATGTGGGTTATACACATAGTCTTGACGTAGTTACCTTATATAATGTGGGTTATACACATAGTCTTGGCGTCGTTACCTTATATAATGTGGGTTATACACATAGTCTTGACGTAGTTACCTTATATAATGTGGGTTATACACATAGTCTTGACGTAGTTACCATATATAATGTGACTAGTAAACGAAAACTGCTTTCATATTGGTCAGATTAATGTGAACATACCTTATCCTAAGACAATCCATTTCCCTCCTGTAATAAAAACAAAGACCATTGTTATGGCAGATCAAAACAACAACAAAAACGTAAAGCAAATACTCTCTATATATATATTTGTATATGTTTCAGGAACAACATATAGTATATGCATCAATTTAACTGTTATTAATATCATGATAATATGATTAAATGTTTCATCTTTTAGTTCATTGCAAAAAGTTAGAACTATCCCTCCAGCACGCATATCACCAAATTCACATCAAAGGGAACATCATTATATAAAACAGTTTCGTTACCATACATAAAAAAGGCAAATATTGTGTGTAAGATTTAAAGGCATCGGATAATCGGTGTCCTAGCCACAATGAAATGCTAGACGCCATACATATTGGGTTCTCTGAATGCCACGTAACAGTGAATATCTGACATTACAACAAATTATATTTGATATACTGCATACTGGAAATGTTCGTAAATTTAAAGGTACAAAACATACGGAATGGTGCTATTTAAATAGTAATGTGCATTATAAGTATAGATGCTGATAAAAAGTGAATATATCTTTTATTTCATTTGGTTTGCAGTGCCTTTTTATTAACTTGTCTTTGGTTTGTCAGGACCTGTTTTACCAATTTAATTCCATCGGTACAATAAGACTTTTCCAAATGAAAGAAACTTATCACGACCGTGCATTACGTGATCATAGTGACTACGTCACAATAATCTAATAATGCCGTACATATTATAAATACTAAAATTAAAATAGTTTGATAATGTGTCAAAGATGCATTCTGTCGTTACATAATACCCCATGTCAACATAGCAATCAGCTGATGTTGACATTACACGAATCTGATATTAACTTTAAACTTTGACGTGTGTTGGCATTACACCTTACCTGGGGGTGCCGTTGTTAAAGTTTGACGTGTGTTGACATTACACCTTACATGGGGGTGCCGCTGTTAAACTTTGACGAGTGTTGACATTACACCTTACCTGGGGGTGCCGTTGTTAAAGTTTGACGTGTGTTGACATTGCACCTTACCTGGGGGTGCCGCTGTTAAACTTTGACGAGTGTTGACATTACACCTTACCTGGGGGTGCCGATGTTAAAGTTTGACGTGTGTTGACATTGCACCTTACCTGGGGGTGCCGCTGTTAAAGTTTGACGTGTGTTGACATTACACCTTACCTGGTGGTGCCGCTGTTAACCTTTGACGTGTGTTGACATTACACCTTACATGGGGGTGCCGCTGTTAAACTTTGACGTGTGTTGACATTACGCCTTACCTGGGGGTGCCGCTGTTAAAGTTTGACGTGTGTTGACATTGCACCTTACCTGGGGGTGCCGCTGTTAAAGTTTGACGTGTGTTAACATTACACCTTACCTGGGGGTGCCGTTGTTAAAGTTTGACGTGTGTTGACATTGCACCTTACCTGGGGGTGCCGCTGTTAACGTTTGACGTGTGTTGACATTACACCTTACCTGGGGGTGCCGCTGTTAACGTTTGGGAATTCATCATCGTCTGCTTTCCTAATTCGAAATAAATTAAACGCAAATAGAATAAACATTAAATAAGAATATTTATATTAGAAGCACTTGATGTTGACCTTACTCTAAAGCTGATGTTGACATTACATGTAGCTGATGTTGAAATTACATGTAGCTGATGTTGACCTTACCCTATACCTGATGTTGACCTTACCCTATACCTGATGTTGACATTACATGTAGCTGATGTTGACCTTACCCTATACCTGATGTTGACATTAGATGTAGCTGATGTTGACCATACACTAAACTTGATGTTGACATTACAAGAAGCTGATGCTGACCTTACCCTATACCTGATGTTGACCTTACCCTATACATAATGTTGACATTACATGTAGTTGATGTTGACCTTACCCTAAACCTGATGTTGACATTACATGAAGCTGATGTTGACCTTACCCTCTACCTGATGTTGACATTACATGAAGCTGATGTTGACCTTACCCTACACCTGATGTTGACCTTACCCTTTACCTGATGTTGACCTTACCCTCTACCTGATGTTGACATTACATGGTTCGGATGTTGACCTTACCCTATTCCTGATGTTGACATTACATGTATCTGATGTTGGCCTTACCCTATGCCTGATGTTGACATTACATGAAGCTGATGTTGACCTTACCCTTTACCTAATGTTGACATTACATGTAGCTTATGTTGACCTTACCCTATATCTGATGTTGACATTAGATGTAGCTGATGTTAACCATACACTAAACTTGATGTTGGCATTACAAGAAGCTGATGCTGAACTTACCCTATACCTGATGTTCACCTTACCCTATACCTGATGTTTACCTTTCCCTATACCTGATGTTGACGTTACATGTAGCTGATGTTGACATTACCCTACACCTGATGTTGACCTTACCTTATACCAGATGTTGACCTTACCATATACCTAATTTTGACATTACATGTAGCTGATGGTGACATTACCCTATACCTGATGTTCACCTTACCCTATACCTGATGTTGCCATTACATGTAGCTGATGTTGACATTACATGTAGCTGATATTGACCTTACCCTATACCTGATGTTGACCTTACCCTATACCTGTTGTTGACCTTACCTTATACCTGATGTTGACCTTACCCTATACCTAATGTTGACATTACATGTAGCTGATGTTGACCTTACCCTATACCTGACATTTCAGTTAACCATGCGTTGACGTAACACTTAACCTGATGTTGACTTCACGTATTTGATGTTCATATTACACTTCAGATGATGTTTACGTACTACTTAACCTGATGTTAACGTAACACTTTACCTGATGTTAACGTAACACTCTATCTGATGTTAGGTTAACCCTTTACGTGATGTTGACGTAACACTAACCTGATGTTGACGTAATACTGTACCTGATGTTAACGTAACACTTTTACCTGATTTTGACGTAACAATAAAACATGCGTTTACGTAACACTTTACCTGATGTTTACATTACAATAAAACATGCGTTAACGTAACACTTTACCTGATGTTGAAGTAACACTTTAACTGATGTTGACGTAACAATAAAACATGCGTTAACGTAACACTTTATCTGATGTTGACGTAACACTTTACTTGATGTTGACGTCACACTTTACCTGATGTTGACGTAACATTTTACTTGATGTTGATGTAACACTTTACCTGATGTTGACGTAACACTTTACCTGATGTTGACACAACAATAAAACATGCATTAACGTAACACTTTAACTGATGTTGACGTAACAATAAAACATACGTTAACGTAACACTTTTACCTGATGTTGACGTAACACTTTAACTGATGTTGTCGTAACACTTTTACCTGATTTTGACGTAACAATAAAACATGCGTTTACGTAACACTTTACCTGATTTTGACGTAACAATAAAACATGCGTTAAGTTATCTGCGTTCCTTATGAAATGAATGCACATATGATAAAATCAAAATAGACGTTAGAACAGTAAAATTACATAAGAATACAAGGTCGAAACATAAGGACATAAACATCTACATGAGATTAGTTATTTCCTTATCAAAGCAACCTCATTTATCTATCATAACAGGTCCTCTTAAAAAGCCTTTTTATTTTCAAACCATTATTTTAGGCTTGATGGTATATTACCCGCTTCTTCTTTTATGAAGACATGACCTAACTTGAAGTTCACAGTAACGCGGTTGTCACTGATGACACATAGATGCTTATCCTTGCGAAACACCTGGTGTTATTCTCCTTGTACTTTAATGGTATCCATGTAAATTTGTCCTTTGTTCATATTCTACCATAGTTTTATGGAGTTTAAGTTCGGATTGCTATTTTGTTCACTCTTTGTTATTCTCTTTTAATTTCTGGCCCTATCTATAACTTTAATATGACATATACTTCCTAAACATTTCACGTTTTTTAATGATATTTACGCTTTTGGTATTGTTACTTATATTGTCAAATATTGCATAAATATTATATATTATATGACTATCATTTTACAGAATTTGTTCGGTGCCTTATAAAACGAACATATTTTTTTTTTATCTAGATTAGTCTCTTTTAACTTGACGACGAAATATATTTAAAAAGAGAATACATTGTACATGGATATTTGCTATAATAATACCAAATTGGCCATGTTACATTCTTAAAATATTGAATATTGGTTGTTTTTTGTTATAAGTTGTTTAATATTTTGTAAATTTGGTTTAATTTTACTTGATGCCTTACTAGTCTGACATATGACACCAGCATCTTCCGAGTGGTCACAATCTCCGTGTCCTATGGGGACAAAACGACACTGTCCAAGGTTGGTTTCCTGTCCACTACACTGGGTCTCGTCCAGCCATATAGGCCCTGTCCCGCTACCATACCTAGCCTTGGAGGTGTGAGTGGCTGTTGCTCTGCACACACGAATACCAGAAAAGGGTTTTATAAATATTCACAGGAATAACAACGTGGTCTTGAAAGTCAAAATGAAACAAAGAATATGAAAAAAAAAAAATCGAAAATTATCGTATGTCTTGAAAATACAAATACTTTGCTCATTATACAAACAACATGTATTTGTGTCAGAAAATGACATATTAATATAAAGATATTATTAATATTCCATAAACTTAAATCACAATCAATTTAAAGGAATTAATTACTAATCTATACGATTGCGCTTTGCTTTGCATTTTGTATAAAAAAAAAAAATACATTATATATTTCCCGCTGATCTTTACTCATATATTTCCTTTTTTTTTGTTCGATTATTTGCTACTCCTAAATGATTTGTTTTTTTCCTCATATATACTGTTATTCAATCATACATACAATTGGTACAACATGTGATGCATACATACATCCAAAACCAATTACAAGAGTACATCTATTAGAAATTGACATACAATTATAAATAATGAAGTAGTACATGGATACAATTTTACTATATATTACATTAATCTTTAGAAATATGTTTCAATATAGTTTAAAAAAGAGTAAATCATAGTTCATTTCTAACTAATTATTTCAGTTATAAAGTTCTATTTACTTTTCTTAGTACTATTCCGTCTTTGCGTATTGCAGAGTTATCGTCTCTTGTGAGCAGGTATTGACTGTTACGTCATTGGTTTGTGCGAGAAAATTGCGTCGTTTTCTCAAAAATTGATGACGTTACTCTCACAAATAAGGGACGTAACAATCAATACCTGCTCCCAAGAGAAGATAACTCTGCAATACGCAAAGACGGAATAAGAGTACAGACCAACCTCTTCTATTTTTTTGTAATAGGATAAATATAATTTACCCGTGGAAAAAGACGGAGTAGTCTCCCTTTGCTTACAATAGTAGATGAAAAACTTCAAGAGTAGAAATACAAAATTTGTTTCATAATCGAATCTAGCAATACTGACCCCAAAAAGTATTGATTGAGAATTAAATGGTAGTTCAATGCCATGTTTTATTTGTATAAGATTGAAAAATGAGGACCAAAAGACCTTAACATAGCAACAGTCCCAAAATAAAGGTAACATTGTCTCCCTTCCATTTTCACAAAACGTACACCTTTCTGTTTCCATTAATTTAGTTTGCATTAATTTGACATTAGTATATATAATATTATGCAATATTTTAAACTGGAAATTCTGAAGTTTGGTGTCATCAGTAAGAGGTCTAGGAGACAAGTAGTAAGTGTGCCATGCTTCATCAGATATATTAACTTGCAACACCTCATTACATTTTCCTTGACTCGTTGGTTTTGTTTTATATTTATTAAACAGTAATTTGTTGAAATATTTTGTTACTTTATCATTTTTATAATTATATTTTTTAATCCTACACGTAGTAATTTGTATCGGTACATTGGTTTGCTCTCTCAGGATCCGTTTCCAGTCCCTTGGTATGGCATTTATAAGGCCGTAATACTCTACAAAGGTAGTATCAATATCATATTTTTCTGTGAACATTTCAAAAGATATAAAACTGTTATTTATTACAAGATCGTTAATAAAGAAAACTCCTTTTAAACACCACTGTCTATAAAAAGTAGGTCTTCTATCTATTTTAATACTGTCATTATACCAGATAGGTTGGGAAACAATTTGTTGTGGGGTTGTGGGTGGTTTATTTTCTACAATGGATGACCATATACATAAAATTTCTTTCCAAAAAGTGTTATAAAAATTGAACTTCTAACTAATCCTTCTTCAGCCATTCTGAAAATTTTATCCCCGCCAAATAATTCTATCTTATCTAATACTTAAGTTTTCCAAGGCGAGCAATAAATGGGATTTAAAAGCTTTTTTATCCAGGAGATCTTCAGTGCTTGACAAAAAGATTTAACATGAGGAACTCGTAATTCACCTTCATTGTAATCGTCATACATTACATTTCGTTTTATTTTATCAATCTTCCCTTTCCATATAAAATTAAAGATAGTCGACTGAATATCTCTAAAAAAACAACAGGTGGATCTGGAAGTACAGTTAAAGTTTGTATTAAAACGACGTAGATAATATAATTATGTTCAAAATATACGGAAATCATTCGTCGATAGATAAGATAAATAATTGAAGATGTGCTAAAGCTATGTTTATTTCAATCTAATTCTATATAAAAATTGCTTTTGGTTATAATAAATATTATCGTTATAATGGCTTTTCATTTTTGACTGAGGGGAGATGTTAATAGTCGGGTAATCACAAATTGTTTTTCTGTTGATGTCTAAGCAACATTAAGCCAGATTTACTTACGGATCGTATCCCAACATTCGACATACAACTTTGGCGTCATCATCGTCCCATCCGTCATCACAAACGGTGCCCCACACACCGTTGTGTAGGACCTCCACCCGACCATCCAGGGCATTCATTCCATTTACTAATCGAACTGTAAGTGTCTCTATAAAAAAAGGGCAAGCAAAATTTACACAAGACGTACGAATTTGAACCTTGACTAATATAACATGGTTAACATTACAAAAAAATGAAAAAATAAGATGAAACCACCAAACTTTTTGTTGGCCAAAGTAATCCGCTCCTTATTTAATAAACTTATTAATTAATACGTGTTATTGTGTTAACTTGCTCCGGAGATTGACTTACTACTCATTAATATAGAACTAAAGATAAACGAAATGAAGATTGCTGTAACCTACCTGTTTGTGTCACATTGGAGGGTTTTGCTGTTGGGGTTGTCACTGACTGACCACCATTTACGTTAGCTGTAGATTAGATTAATAGACAACGTCATATAACGTAACACAAATATGAAAGGTAAAAAACATAAACCACAAATTAGGAGCCTTAACAATAAATACAAGGGAAAGTATCGTCGTTACCGTTATATGGTATACACTTGTATTATAAATACTATCTAGTGGCTTCGAATAAAAGGTCAGATTTCGAATAAAAATCTTATACTTGCATGTAGATAGACTAGTGTATAGAATATAAGTCTATCCGATGTCAGCATTATTGATATATAACAGATACATATCTTGCCATTGTAATAAGGAATTATGAAAGATGAATAGCTGGCCATTGTATTGATGTATTAGGATATGAAACATGAAAATCTAACCAAAACAGAACTATATAAGTACAGGCAAAGATATTTTTCAAATTTTAGGACCATCTGCCCCTTTATCAAGACATGGACATGAAAGTTATCATATCACAACATATAATAGAGATAAACAGTCACCATAGGCAATAACACAACACAAGATACATAAACAAGAGAACAGTAGTTACATATATGAAATAGGCTATTGCAATTGCATATTGCCTCGGTTAGCTTGTATCAGAAGGCTGATTATTGTACAAAATTCATCTTAATTTGACAAATTTCTTGTCTGCACTGTCAATAGTGCTTTGCTTATTTCTATAAATATATATATTATAGTAGATAATAAATAAACAAATCCTTGCATAATTTAAATTTATTTGACATTAAAACATTAAACATAGTCTTCCCTCAGCCTCTTACCTGTTGAGGTGACACTAGGTTTTGACGTCGAGACGGCAGGTACGTGTGCTCCATGTGAATAATCTGTAACAATCATATGGGGTCTTTTTTACCTTTTAGAAAAGGAGATGTTTCAAATAAATTACTTTATTCTTAACACGAGTTATTTCCTTTATATCGTTGACAGTTTTTATTCTATTTCAAGTGCAAATCTTCGTAGCAGTAGATATATATATACAGATTTGATGTCTTTAAGTTTAGTTACCATTGTTTAAGACAATATGAACTAGAATAAGGACGTATATCCTTAACACACTTAACCGTTATGAAGCTATGTCAGTTCATTATTATGTCATATTAAAGTAGCATACACATATCAGTTATAACTGTAACACATGGTGAACTTTATTTTCTACATTCATTGAATACAATCACTTAAAATATACGTAACTATATTCCAACATACGTCATATTACTTAACCCCAATAATAGAAGAGAGAAAAGAGAAATGCACGCCGGACCGGGGTTTAAACCCTGAACCCTCCGATCTCTACAAGGACCAATTGAGCTACCTGGTCGCTGACGATCGACCCAGTCAAGCTCAACTGCATTCCCTCCTCCTTTGTCTAAGTCTTCGCCCCCGCAGACACAGCTATTTACAACCCGGATTCGGGTGTCCTCATGCAACGCATTTATCCTTTGCTTGAAACAAGGGTTGACTAGCTCGCCAATTGGTATAAGGATAGGAAAGAAAAATCCATGGCAAGACCGGGATTAAACCCGTTAGCCTCCGAACTCTATTAGGACGTTTCACCAATTGAGCAACTTTGTCGCCGGCAACCCAGTCCGATTCTGCTACACAGACACAACATCTAGTGTTCGAGGTCTATGTTGGGCAGACACCAGGTTCTGGCCGAAGTTTTTTCTCCGGGAAATCCGGCTTACCTCCACCACCACCACCTGGCATGTCCTTAAATGACCAAAGCTGTTAAAAGGACGTAAAACACAAACAAACCAAATCAAACAAACCAAGTTATTACCTTGTAAATCTGCAACATATATATGTGTGTAACTTCATATACCTTTAAACGAATATAAACTGTCGTTTAAATCAACCATTACTTACGTGGCATGACGCATGTTGCTTCGTCACTTCCGTCCCCACAGTCATCCTTGCCGTTACAGAAATTTAGTATGGAAATACACCTCTTGTTACGGCATTGGAATTGAAGTAATGGTACACATATCCCTGCATAACATAGATCATCTCCATTTTAACACGCACTGAAATATTTGTGTATAGATAGCCCTGTGTAACGTACAGTTAATCTCCCTGTTGAAGTAGAGTATGGACACGTTTTATGGTCACGCTCCGGATATCTTTGTGATATGTCGGTCGATGCTTTTGATTATGCTCATTAGAGTGAGTGAGTTGTGGTTTTGTTGTCACAACCCGCTTTCTCCAAGTGAGGATGTGACATTAATCAGATTTTCATAAATATAATTTGAACAAACGTGACATTAATTGGATTCTATCAAATATAATTTGAATAAAATAATTAAAAAGTCAAAACAAAACATAGACATGCAAGCATAAAAGCGATTCATCTTTAATATGTAACAAAATTCGGAAATTCTTCTGTTTCTCTCAGATTTAGATATTTACCAATAAAGCTAAGCTCCTTTTGAAGAAAAGAAGATTTTCTTTGGATGTTCTTGTCTAAATACATCAGTCATTACTTTATTTAGTGTATGGCCATCACTATAATCGTGCTCTCTGTCTCCCGAGTGTATTCTGATCCTCTTTGACATCCATCATAAAAAAATCCATATATTTACAACAAGCTTCTAAAGATGTTATTTGAATCAATAAAAAAATGCTATTTTTTTGAAATAACATAATTATTTTCGAAGACCTGCTCATACAAAATTGAAAATTTCTGCTTTACGGTTATAATTTTAGAAGTATGAATTTTGTCATTAATGATGTCGGCCCCAAAACTGTTTGATTATTTAACATCCAACAAAATTTAGAAAAAACCTAAACTGTTCATTATTTAATTTCTATGAGAAACAGGAAAAGTGTCGAATTTTGTTAAATGTTAAATATCAATATGATTTATGCTTGAATGTCTTTGGCTTTGTTTTGAGTTTTAATCTATTTCATTCAATGAATACAATGACTGGGAAGCTCAAAAAACATGTGTAAACTCTGTACTCTAATATGTGAAGACACTGCAAATATTGCACTACAGACAGACTGATGAGTCGAATCACTTGAGAAAATCAAAAACAAAACTTGAACTTTCATCAGGTTTAATATTTCGAGACCAAACAATATTTAGAGGATATTTATCAAGTTGATAGAATCCGATATTTCACTGACAAAAATGTAATAAATATTACCACATACCGGAGAGACAATACATGTTGAATAACTTTTCTCCCACCCTTCACCGATGTGTCTCCCATTTTAGCCGGGAAAGATCAGCTTGTCACCGCCTAGGGGGAGATAGCCTCGTGTCGATTAGCACGTGTTTAATTGTGACGTCATTAAAATGCGTCATCGGTAATTGTGACGTCATCAAAAGTGAATGACGATAGACATACCCCACATGTGTTTTTGTTTTCAAACATGGCAGATTAATGTCGTTGGAGCTGTGACTGAAATAATGAGATGGGAGAAAAATAATCATCCCCTACCTTGAGGGTGTAACGGAGAAATCTCAAACCCTCGGGCTGATTTTTTGGTTGTCTAACCCTCGGCAGAGTCTCGGGTTAGACAACCAAAAAGCATCACCCATCGGGTTTGAGATTTCTCTGTCACACCCTCAAGGTAGGGGAAGATTTTATTATTCTCCCACCCTTCACATGTATGTCTCCCGTTTTAGCCGGGAAAGATCGGCTTGTCACCCCCTAGGGGGAGATAACCTCGTGCCGATTAGCACGTGTTCAATTGTGACGTCATCAAAAATGAATGACGATATACATACCCCACATGCGTTTTTGTTTACAAACATGGCAGACTACTGTCGGTGGAGATGTCACTGAAATAATAGGATGGGAGAAAAATAATCATCCCCTACCTTGAGGGTTTAATAGAGTAATCTCAAACCCTCGGGGTGATTATTTTGGTTGTCTAACCCTCGGCAGAGCCTCGGGTTAGACAACCAAAAAACATCACCCCTCGGGTTGGAGATTTCTCTGTCATTCCCTCAAGGTAGGGGAAGATTCTATTAATCATAGTTTAATTATATTAAGTATAAACAGAGAAATAATGTTTTTTCTATTTAATTTATTTGAATAGTGTAATGCGAATATGAATATATAGTTAAAACATTAAAACTTTATGTAGGACAATCATAAGCCACAAGACACAGACTGCCTCGTCATTTGCTAGTTTTAGCCATAGGATAGTGGGTCTTGTCACTTACCATATCCACACACTGTTTGAGGAGAGTAGTGCTAATGTGTACAGAATAATATGTGTGAGTTAAAATTTTCAAATTTGAGTGTGGTAAAAAATACAATGGCACTTTCATTAGCATCAGTATTAAGATCTCTACGATCAGTGGGTGACATAATTGAGATTTATTTTTAATTTTTATTATTTTTGATTATATTTTCAAAATGTTATGACCTAGACATATATATAAATATACATACAATGTGCATGACCATCTAGAATCGCCTTTAAATAATGTACATACTGTTCAAAATATTCTATCAAGTATCAGTATTCGTCATACATATATATTAATTAACAAATAAGTAAAAATTCACATTTTTGATATAAAAATAAACTTCCGGATATTCTTGTCCGTACTCTATTCTAATTATTATTGTGTTATAATGTAGTGTCTGATTTCCGGTTAGAGTCACGATGGTGAACAGACTTCGCACAAACGCTATTCGCACTGTTCTTCCAGTCGTTGTAAGTCTTAGACTTGTGATAATAATATTAATAATATTGTATTATATTGACCATATACCTTAATTGAGATTAATTAATCTGTGATATGAAGTGAACGCTATATGGAAGTACATGCACTTGTGGTTATGGAGATGGCCAAACTAGTCTTTTTCTTGTGTAATTAGGTTGTATTCAAATCCCAATTTTAGTATGACTATTTACTTATTCTATTTGCCTTTCTTTTTTCTCTTTTTATGTCTTACCCTTCTTCTATTTTCTATCTCCGCTGCCAGACTAGTTGTTCCAGTCAGTAGGCCTTGCACATGTCCAGGTTAATGGAAGGTATTAAAATATTATCGGCAAATTGTCAGGGATTGGGTGATAAAACCAAGAGAAAGGATGTTTTTTCATATTTAAGGTCTAAAGATTTTAATATCTATTGTATACAAGATACTCATTTTACTGAAGAAATTGAAGGAATAATTAGGACAGAGTGGGGATATGAGTGTTACTTTAACTCTCTGAGGTCAAATTCTAGGGGGGTTGCAATATTATTTAATAATAATTTTGAGGTGAAGGTTTTAAAGGTTAAAAAGGATTTGACTGGGAATTTCATAGCATTAGATTTAGAAATAGAAGGGAAACAAATTACACTTATAAATATCTATGGGCCAAATTCAGATACTCCATCTTTTTATGACAACATAGTAGAATCAATAGATACTTTTAAAAATGAATGTTTTATAATATGTGGAGATTTTAACTTAGTATTAAACCCTGAAATTGATTATGATAAAAGCTATAAAAATATCAATAACCCAAAAGCTAGAGAAAATATCTTACAAATAATTGAAGAGTTAGGAATGGTTGATGTTTATAGGGAACAGAATCCTGATAATAAAAGATATACATGGAGAAGAAGTAATCCAATTAAACAAGCCCGCCTAGATTTTTTTCTCATTTCTGAAAACTTACTACCTAGTGTAAATAAAACTGATATTGAGCCAGGATACAGATCTGACCATTCTATACCATTTATTATATTAAAATTTAATGAATTTAAGAAGGGGAAAGGACTATGGAAGTTTAACAATTCTTTATTGCATGATTTAGACTATCTTGAAATTGTAAACAAAATTATTTTAGACGTTAAAACCCAATATGCTCTTCCAGTGTATAATCCACACAATATATCCAATATTCTGGACTCTGAGATCCAATTCGTTATAGATGATCAGCTGTTTTTTGAAACGTTATTAATAGAAATTAGAGGGAAAACTATTTCATATGCTTCACATAAGAAAAAACAACAGAACCATTTAGAAAACAATTTAAAAGATATTATAAAACATTTAGAATCGGTTGAAAATATTGATTTTGATAAATTAAAGGAGAAAAAACAAGAATTAGAAAATATAAGATTACATAAACTAAGAGGTAGCATTATTAGATCTAAAGCTAAATGGGTTGAAGAGGGAGAAAAGCCAACTAACTACTTTTTTAATCTCGAAAACAGAAATTATACCTCAAAAATAATTCCAAAAATAGAAAAAGAAAATGGGGATATAATAACTAATCAAAATGAGATACTTAAAGAAGTTAAATTATTTTATGAGTCTTTATATACCAATGATGATAATATAGATGATGTTAATTTAGACAACTTTTTACATGACTTTCATGTTCCTAAACTGAATAATATAGAATCTGATAGTTTAGAGGGCATTATAACTCTTAAAGAAGCATCACATACATTAAATAATATGAAAAATGGGAAAAGCCCTGGTTCTGATGGTTTTACGGTTGAATTTTTAAAATGTTTCTGGAAACAGCTGAATAACTTTATAGTGAGATCAATCAATTTTGGTTACGCTAATGGACAATTGTCAGTTACACAAAGACAGGGAATAATAACATGTATACCTAAAGGGGATAAACCAAGACAGTTTCTAAAAAATTGGCGACCAATTTCTCTTCTGAATATTATATATAAAATTGCATCAGGGTCAATAGCAGGGAGAATAAAAACAGTCTTAAATAGTATAATAAACACAGATCAAACAGGTTTTATTTCGGGTCGTTATGTTGGGGAGAATACTAGGTTAATTTATGATGTCATGCAATATACAGATGAAAATAATATACCAGGAATGTTGTTAATTATAGATTTTGAAAAGGCTTTCGACTCAGTGTCCTGGAAATTTATTGAAAAAGTTCTTGATTATTTTAAATTTGGCAATGGCATAAAAAAATGGGTAAAAGTCTTTCATACAAACGCAAAGTCTGCAATAAATCAAGGGGGAAATTTATCATCTTTTTTCGATATTAAAAGAGGT